CAAATTCCCAATCATCATCAACAAGCTGCTTCCTTAGGGTTTGATGGAATTTGGATCTTGTTAAGCTTCTCCATGGATGAATTATCCTTCTTAAAAATATTAAAACAGATTTCAAAACCAGAGAGAGAGGGAGAGAGAGAATCAAAGGATTTAGAAAAGAAATAAGAAAGAGAAAAATTCAACAGCTGTAAGCCTCTAATTAAATCAATATACAAACAGACCTCAACACCTGAGTCGCTCTTTCTCTTCTTCCCTTTTGGCACTGCAACAAGTATAAAGAATTAATCTCCAATAGAAAAGGTTAATGTCTTTGAAAGAAGCCCTAATGCTAGTTAAAAAAAGGTTCCCAATTAGGTTGACAATTAGTTAAAAGCAGCCCTAGTGATAGTTAGGGACTTCTGAAGAAGCTCGTCAGGAATCAATGGTTGACTCAATTTATGTATCAAAATATAATCAGTGTAGAGATGGGGCCATTGACAATTGCAATAGCCTATTAGATTTCTTTTCTCCTCTGTCATTAAATAAATGCATTTAAAAAACACATTCACTCAATCACCTTAGAATGCCAATACAAGACCATGGAACTAAATGCCACATGTAACATTAGTATTTACTGAAAGTTCAATACAACCTCTACATTAACCAAATGCTAAAACTACATCGAATACAAGAACTGAAAATCACGTGAGAATGTCACAATCAAGAAAAATGTTTGACAGGACTCTTGTAGGATATGATAGGATAGGGCAGCGACAGGGTTTTCGGGGGCCTGTACAAATTCTTATAAAGGGATCCCTATTTTCTAGATATATTTAATTTTGAGGCAACAATAGCGGCGTTTTCTTTTGACAAACGCCGCGATAGATCTATCTATAATGGTGTTTTATCAATAAAGCCGCAATAATAATGGCGTTTTCTTGAAAAACGTCGCAATAGGTCCGTTTATAATGTCGTTTATTAGAAAAACACCACTATATATATACTTTTTTAAGGATTTTTTGGGGGCCTGCGCGGTCGCGCAGTTCGCGCCGCTCCAGACACGGCCCTGGATAGGAGTATTTTGATGATACAGAAAAGTCATTGCAGATGAAAGAAAATCAATTATAAAGACAGGAGAATATAAAAAAAAAACTAAAAATATGCTGACCAGTGTTCTTAAGGTTCTCTTTATCCACTTTTGCATCTAGAAAGATAAAAATACAATAAATTAGATGGGCTCAATTAGAGAATGAAGGCAAACAATAATGACAACAGTATAAACTATAAGAAAAGTTACCAACTTTTAAAAGATTCCTCAACATGCAGTGCAGCTATACTTAAATATGGACACGGATAATGAACAAAAGTATTAAGATATTAATAAACAAGCCAGCGTCAAAGGAGTTAACTGATCAGTAGAGCTTTTGGCTTTGTATGACTTAAACGCCCTAACCTTGAACCTCTTTCAACACCCTGTTTTTTGTTAAGGGCTTGCTGCTTCACGACATTCTCTTCAGTATTTTTCATCAACCGATCAGCTGCTACCCATTCGTCCCAACTGTTGGCAATATGTCCAACCCGTAGTAATGATTTCTGTTTCCCGTTTGAGAAAGGGGGAAATGAAAGCAATCATTTTCCGGTAATATATTGGGTTTTGATTACCTTTCAGGATTTCATTATAGCATAAATGAATTATTACCCACAAAGAAAATGTAAGGAAGAAAAAATATGCAAATTTAAACCAAACAAACCTTGTTTCTCTTGATTAAAGGGGAAACGAGGATAGTAAGTGATTAAATAAATATTTTAGCTTAAATATATGTCAGGATCCCCAATTTAATTGATGAATGTCAATTACCTATTTCACTTGAAAGTATAATACTGCTTAATATTTATATAAGAAACATTATAAAAAGGGATGTTGTAGACTTTTAGTGCTTTAAAGGGCAAGTTTTCTGAGGAATAGCTTTATAATAAATTTCACATGGACACTGTTAGGTTAAAATTTTTAGATGCATCAAGAGTTGTGAAAATTTAAATGACAAATCAATCAAAAACAAAAATAAGGCAGTAACTTTGATTAAGCTGAGACCATATTACTGAAGCCATACTTTTATTCCAACCCTGCAAAACAGCAAAACAAATATCTCTCAATACCATACACAAGTAGTGTTTAGCTTATCCTCGCCAAGGGTGTGCCGTAGGAGGTTCCACAACTACGTCAGCTTCACAAAAAGGTGCGGATCCATGATTTATAGTTATGTTAAGGATTGCTTGGAATGCTTATATCTAGCAGTGTGTGTGTGTTCAGGAATACTCTGAGTAAGCTATTGGGAATCTTAATGGTTCCTATTTTCTTTAATGTATGATTCTTTGTTTTCTAGCTAGATTGCTCAACAGTTCTGATATAACGGTTTAACTACTTAGTTACTTGCTTATCTAAGAAAACAAGACAAGTAGACTTACAAGGTAATGAACGAAATACTTCCATTCTTTCTTCCGAAGCTCCACTTTCTGAAACGTAATATCTAGCAAGGGCCGTGATAGGCGAGGACAGGTTCGCCCTCAGAGAAGATGTTTGAATCGGAAGGAGGGGTGTTGCGGCTTGAAGTATCGGCGTCGGCTGTCGTCTCCTCCTTCAACGAGCTTCCCATATTTTTGCCTGGTTTTTGCAGCAGAAAGAGAGGGAATTATAAAATATAGAATATTAAAATTTAATCCATTTTAATTTTTTAATATTAAATTTATAGTGAATTCGATTTTTTTATTTGAATCAGATAAAAACGTTAATAAGGGAAAAAAAAAGGGACAAACTATATCCGATTTTGATTATCGGTTAAAAAAGAAGTGATTTTAGTCTTGTTTTATCGGTCCATTCGAATTTAATCCTCTAAGTAATTAACTCCCGTTAACACCTTAATGGAAATGTTACGTGACAATTAAAAAATTTAAAAAATCCACATGTTATTCTTTCTTTCTTCTTCTTCATGGTGTTGCACTTGATATAATTTTAGACAAATGATAGCTGTTATGAACCCGAACACTGAGCTGTTAGCTGCTGCTGAAGGGAAAGATTATGAGTCGACTGTGGATTTGGAATATCAACTTCTTGTATTGGAAAGGAAAAGGAATTAAAACAAACAGGGACATGCCCATGACCTCAAAGCTTATCAACAAATAGGCCTAAAGGTTGATTCATTGCACGTTATATTTAATACAGAAAATGATGAGCATTATGAAATATAAATATGAAAAACTGACATATGGATCATAAGGAACTTTGAAATGAAATATAGAAGAAAACTCTTATTCGGATTTCTCAGGATACATGAAACTGCACCAAAATTTCACTCTCATGCTGATCAGTGGTACTGAAACATGTTTTTTTCTAAATGCATTTTTTAGATTTACCTGCAAATGAACTTCTTACAACCTCGAAAACAAGAACAAAGAAATCATGTACAGGTTCAAACAACCGCAAGTTATAGCAGCAGGAAGATCACCGTTGCCCCCACCCCTAACGTCGAAACCAAATGTAGAGGCTGCACAAGCAACACCGGTACCCACAGACGGACAGTGTCACATTTGACTTCATCACTTTCAATGTGGCAGCAGCTGGAATACCTTTGTCGATTCCACGGTCACCTCTATTCATTTCTAACATAAGGGACTATTCGTATAGTTTACAAAAAAAAAATACAAATTTCGAGTCCTTCCCGAGTTGGGTCCGGCTTGGTCAGCGGAAACGGGTGTACTTTACTATTAGGCTTTTAATGAGGTCAAATTCTGTCATTGGTGCTTATATTATATATAAGTTATGAATTTAATCTACATACTCTTATTTACTCAATTTAAATTTTTTTTTTTGAATTTTAAAATTTTAATCTTGAATCAAATAATATAAAGATATATAATAGGTAAAAAAATAGAAACTAAATAATTATTTTATTAAATGTTAGAAATAAATTTTGAAATTATGCCTATATAAAATAATTGAAAACTTACCAAGCTCATAAATATGTTCTCTTCATGGGATATCTTCAATTCCTTTAGATTTATTTATTCAATTAATTTAATCATTTTTATATAAATATTCTATTATATATCAATTGATGAAAATAATTATTACACGAATTAATAATTAAATCATTTATCATTGACGGATTACCTATGATTAGGTTTTATTTTCACAAACCATGTAATATCATTAAGAGGGTACAATTTTCTCTTTAATCGAGTTACAATTTCATGTTTAATGTAAATATATCATGTATGAGTTACACATCAATATATAAACTATCAAACTACTGCTTGAGACGCATTAGTTCTTGATATATCAATGTATACAAGTCACGCACGTCGTTTTGTATTTACTCAAGATTAAGGTAAATATATTTAGATCTTCACAAATGAATTTAAACTATAAACAGATTTAAGATTAAATCATCATGGGTCTAGCCTAATGTGTTGTTAATCCAAATTAACACACCTATGTCTTTATTTGGGAGTAAGCCCGCTTCCATAGTCACAAGCTATTTTTTAAAAAAAAAATTAGATAACATAATATTTTAAACATAAATTATTTATTCAAAATATTTTCACAGATTATAAATTTATAATAATATATCTCAATCCGACCTAAATCTAAAATTTTGAGTATCACATATAATCACCAAAATACGTACCCATATTTCTTTAAAACTAACTACATATATTAAAGTGTGAGTTGATACCCTCCGACTTTAAAAAAGAAAAAATCTCATTGAATTTTTCCGACTCCACCGCTATATACATGTACGAATTCCACACAGAGAAGGAAAATCGTATTAACAAAGAATCTCTTGAACTACGGAAGAGATGAAAACAATTCTAGGATAAACAAGGAAGTTTGTATTATTATTTTAATTTATCAAAAATTGAAAACAGAATGAATAATAATGAATATACAATACAAAATAAATCTTTGTTGCTAAAAGTAATACCGCTAACTGTAAGCTAAAATAATCTGTTCCTCGAACCAGAAACATCGTTATCACCTAGTGTTCTACTCTCAATGAACAAGGCTTCTTCCAGCCCGAAACATGGCTCACACCAGAGTCAATTTCCCACACCAGGGTTTGGACCGGAGTCCTTGATGGCCCCATGAGTTCGACTATCAGGGAACTTGTTTCCCACACAGGACTCGGACCAGAATCCTTTATGCTTCCTAGATTGATGCTAACAGTCACCCCGTTCCCTAGGCTCGAACCTGAATTCTTAATGCCGCCAAGGGTCGAGCTATGTCCCTCGCCAGGGCTCGGACCCGAGTTCTTAATGCCACCCAGGGTTTGACTATCTGTGAACTTGTGTCCCTCACCACCAGGGCTTGGACCAGAGTTCTTAATGCCTCCGAGGGTCCGACCATCAACGAACCCGTGTCCCTCACCAGGACCGCTAGGACCTGACCCTTTGATGGCACCGAGATATAATCCAATATCGAAGAAATCGGGGACCTTTCGACCTGCAAAATTCCGAGACATCAAGGCGTTGAAAGGATCACGAGCTTCAGCGACACTTGCAATGAAACTCGACGCTAAAACAAAAGTAGAAAAGATTAAAAAAGATTTGACTGCGTTCATCGTATCAGGAAAAAAAATGAAATTTTATGTTGCATGGAAATGAGAATCTGAGCCGACTCTTTTATAGTGAGGAGAGATTTTGACTAAGTTTGCATTGCTTGGGAAATACTTCAATTAATCGATTAAAATTCAAAGGAAAACGTGGTGAAAATTGTGTTCTTCGTGGAGGAAACAACTGGGGAAGGTTCGGGGAATGTGATGTATAGTGGAAAACTGGAAAGAAAATGGCTATTGAGATTGCGAGTCCAACATGGAAACTTGAATCGTAGAAAAAAAAATAAAGGAAACGAGAGCCATACAGTGTTTGATTATTTGAATTTCCATGGCTGCCCGACGGCCTCACCAGTCGTCTCCGAATGTAATTTTTTCCCATTAGCAGATTCCATTTGCTCAAAATATTCAATAAAACCCCAAATTTATTTATACCGGGCAACTTTGGTTTGATTTTATTAAATTCTGATTCATTAGATGAGTAATTTAAAATTGATGTTGTAAAAATTTATTATAGACATTACTTTCATCTATATTATTAAGATTCAAATTCTAATATTAATTTAATATCATACAATTTAGTCTTAAAACCCTTGTTCTAGCCATTTGCCCTTCTTTTCTTATATTTTGGTAGCCGACTATATTAACTTTAATATTGGTCGTCAATTACTTGTATTTATTAATATTTTTCTATATTTTTTATATTATATCTTGTTTTTTTTTGTGTTTTTAGTTTTTAATAACCGTCTTTATGACACGTTTTTTTTTTTCTGTTTTTATGAAATACTTTCATTTGTATTTTGACACGTTTTTATTTTCTTTATCGATCATTTGGTCGTTTTTTCTTTGTTTAATTTTTCAAGGTTTGATTTTACGTCATCACGACTGATCAAGATGACATTTTTTATTATTATATTGATCTTCCTTGTTTTGGTCCTCAGATTGAACTTGGATACACGATTTGCATCCGTAGATAGTTTTCTCACGACACTAAGTTATGATTTGCTGTTGTCGATGGTTTTTCATTAGTTTAATCTCTTGTTGTGGTTTGTTCATCAATGCAATCAAATTTGTTTGTATCTATATTTTGTTCAAGATTTTTGGATGGGTCTTAACACGTTCCATGTATGATCTTTCTATGATATCGAGCGGCTAGTTTTCAAACTACATTAATACAATTAATTGTTATATTTGTATAAAAAATCGATATTATATAAAAAAATATAAATTAATAATTAAAATCTCCATTAGAAATTATTAATTATGTTTAGTTTATTAAACTCTTAAGGTCCGGTCAGTTCAGTTATCTTTAACAAATCCATTTTATTTTGATTTGATATTTTAAAAGATAAAAAATGACGTAGATGGACAATAACAAATTCTGAAATATTTAATTTAAGTCAAACCTTTTACTGCTCCGACTTTGGGTACCATAGACAAAATACATGTTTGAATTTCCAAGGCCTTGACGATGTGTCATGCGACCACGCTTTATGGCGAAATCAAAAGTTTGACTGCTTTTCTTTCTCAATTAACAAAGATTCAAATACTAACAACACTGCTAGAGCAAGGGATTTTGAATCTGTGATTTATTTTATCAAAGTTTTTTAAAATATTAAATATTTTCCAACCTCTTATAAAAATATGACGTGGCTCAACTATTTTATACCCCTTCTTGTCATTTACCTTTTTTTTCGATTTGTTTTTATAATTATAACATCCAATTAGTAATTTACATTGAACATATTATTTTGATTTGCAGCATACACTCATAAAGTCTACATATTAACTTAACTTATACAGTATAGTAGAAATATTATAATGAATGCCAAAGTTTGATGCCCTTTCTACCTTTGTGTCGAGTAATCTATGTGACAATGTTTTTTTTTTTTAATTATTGACAAAATTATTTTAACATAACTTCAAGTTGATATTATTCATAAGGCTTCACGTAGGGGTCACTGAGGTCTGAGGCTTCCTTTTGTTATGGTGTTTATATCCCGATAATTGCACTTCGAAAGTAAATGTATTTTCGTTTTTGTTGTTTTCTGTAATTACACATTGATTAATTTAGATATTAAAGTTTTTGATAAAATTTTAATAAAATAGCGGGTTGATTTAGTAATTAGACATTAACTTTTCTTTCTATTTAGACATAATATCAAAAATAGTCCCCAATGTTTATCAAAGCTGCTGGTTTTAGCTCATATTCTTTTCATTAGAATATTTTCCCCCAATGTTTTATTTTGGAGCAAAAACTCCCTCTATAGATGAAAATCATTAGTTATTACATGATTAACAGTCCAAATAGGAGTTTTTTTAACTTCAAATGAAACGTTGAAGGCTAAAATACCCTAAAAATAAGGGACAAAATGATTATTCTGTCAAATGTTAGAGACTTTTTGGTCATAAAATAAAATGTTAGGGACTAAAATTCTCCAAAAAATAAAATATGGAACAAAATAACTATTTTAATAAACCTTGGGGGGGCTAATTTTAACATTATGCCTTTGATTCTATTTAATTTGGATTTAACCCCTTTTACCTCTCATTTTTCATTTATTGATGTAACACTTTTTTCTTAAAAAAAATATCAACACTTAAAACGTACGTGAATATTAAAGATTATAATGTTTTAAAAAATAAAAATAAAAATTATTATTTCAATCAAATGATAAATATTAATTTTAACATTATATTTTTAATAAATTATTCAACATTTATACAAAGATTTCCGACAATTTTAACGATTTTTGTGAACTCTTGTATATCATATACTAAGTTAATATATAAGGGGTGCTTAATTTTTTTTTGAAATATAACTAGATGTATGTATTAATGTGAACAGCTTACGATGCTTCTTAAGTATACTTAGATGTAAAATTTACAAGTCTCGACTAATCAAATAAGAACATTTGTACAATTGCAGTTCCAAAAATATTTTTGAGGGTGAACGTATATATATGTTAACAACACAACTTTTTTATATGTGATGGACAAAAATAAAAATTCCAGGGTGGATACTATCAACAAAAAAAAAATCGAAGAAAATTTAGATTTCAATGTTGGTATGTACCAACCCTAAGTAAGTTGTAAATCCACCGTTGAGTTTGTATAAATGTTGATAATATGATTGTAAGATAATGAAATCATGTTTAGTATGCATATATATATGATATAAAAATATATGACATCTTTAATGATGGTTGATATGTATATGAAATTAAAAACATATTGACTTTATTAATTTGACTATATAAATATGATTAATTTACCTTTAGATTTTACATGTATATATTATATATAATATATAATTTTTAATAATTTATAATTGATCATTTTATAGTTTGTTATATGTTTTTATTTTTTTTATTTTTAATATTGTTTTTAGTATTTTTTAAAATAGTAATTTATTTTTAGTATTTTTAAATATTTGAATTATAATTTAAAATATATATTATTTAAAAATTAAATAAGTCCTTAAACTTTAGAAAAAATAAATTGGCTTTCGAACTCGACCAACAAATTAGTTTAGCAAGTTATCACCCACTATGGACTGTCATGTTAATATCGTAATGATCAACGTTTGATTCTTTTGATCAAAGGGACAAATTGATTTTTTTCTCAATTTAAAGCAATATGAAGTGCAAAAAAGGTTAAAGGATCACATTGATTTTTTTGAAAAATTTTAAGGGTCTCAAATACCATTAAGCCTTTAATTTTAAAGGAATTCGAGGGGGTTATAGGTTTAATTTGTTGAGTTTGTGACATCATTCGATAAAATTGACTCCATATTCGCGTTCAAGAGGCCAAAAAAGAGTGAACTGGAAATTTTGGGGTCCAACGACGTTGTCTACGACAAACAATGATGACCAACTAACGTTGTGGTGAGCCGTGAGTGGCGATCGGAGACAGGAGACTTTGGTCAAATTCAATGATTAAATTGATATTTTATATTAACTTTAGGGTCAAAATGATAATTCATCTAAAATTTAGAGGTTAAATTAAAAATTAATCTCTTTTACTAATATGTCATGTCATCAAATATGAATTAACAATTCAATGATCAAAATGTAACGATCAATTACGTAAGTGATCAAATTTTAGTAAATCAATAACGTAATTGATCGAAATGTAACTTTTGCAAAATAAGTGATCATGAATAAACAAAACATAAACAAAAATGATCATTTCGATAGTTTAATCAAATATTAAATTAAAACGAATTTTTTTTTCCTTTTTTGATTGTTGCTACTTTCCTAATGATGCAACTCCATAATTTCATCTCAAACTCTTCGATCAATCATCTACATGTGGAAAATAAACCTTTTGTCGAACTTCACACTCAAAGAGTAGTAAATTATAATGCATAAACGTGGTCAAACTAGTTCTCCCATATACAAATATGAACACGAAAAGGACCAACCCAAATAGATCCAATTGCCCATCATGTTTAAAACCGACAAAACTGGAGGAAGGAGGATGGGAACTACAAATGATAAAAAGATAGTTATGGTGTAAGATATGAGTCATTGAATGCCATTGCCCATCATGTTTTCACTGCCAAAATTGTCATTTTTTTATTATGAAACAATTTTCTCTGATTGAACTAATCCATTCAACTGATCGAATCAAGAATCAATAATTTAATCTCCGATTTTGATGCTTTTCGTCATTGAAATTCGATGTCTGCCATGGGTTTTTTATTATTAAAACTGGGATTCCTTTATAGAAAAAGAGCTATGACTTTACCTTAATTCTGTGATAACAAAGAAAGCTTGTCCATACATTGTGTGTTGAAGATAGGATTCTAAGTTTCTTTTGTTTAAATGGGAAGAGTTTTCTTTTCATTATCAATTGGACTCCACTTATTCCAACAGGGCTGAAAGAAGTAGGCATTAGTGCTGTCTTTTATGTTACACAATCCGACAATTACGTATACAAATTCAGACAATGACTAATCGAGACACAAAGGTTTTAGTTTTGCGTTAATTCATCCAACAGCAGAAAATCATGTAGTTGATGTGTTGAAAAAAAAAAGGCAAAACAGATAAGCATCGAGCTTTTTTTTTAATGGTTAACATCAGCATTTGCCCGGCCCCCATGATATATGCATTCAAGCATCACAACCCCCCCCCCTCTCTATTGTATTAGAAACTCCTATATCTTAGTTGAGAATCCTTGAGTTCCATGGCCTTCCCGTGGAACGCCGACGCCGACGGGTCCAAAACCGGAGTCAATAACTTGGGGGATTTGTTAAGTTTAGGGCTCAACACAGGGGAAATGGCTGTTGCAATCAACAAGGTTTTCTCATGCAACTTCTGCATGAGAAAGTTTTATAGTTCTCAAGCGTTGGGTGGTCACCAGAACGCACACAAGAGAGAACGAGGGGCTGCCAAAAGGTTCGGGTCTAACAGAATCGGACCGCCTTTGATGGCGATTCGGTCGCTCCGTGTCCGACCTCATTCTCTGGTTCACAAGGGTGTAAGATCAGAAGGGTCATCAGTGATGGCAAGGTTTAGTGATTCCAGGCCTATGTTTGGGGTTGCTGGGACACCGTTCTTGATTGAAGATTCGATGGATGTGATTTGGCCTGGAAGCTTTCGGCTCGAGAAATTGCCGATGCAAGGACCTGAACCTGCCACTGATTCGCACAAGGTTGATTTAAACATGAGGTTGTAGGCGTTTTAATTGTCATCTAACTGTTATATAATTAATTTATATAAAGGCTTCGTTTCTGTTTAGTATATGTTTTATGTGCTCATCTATTGTCAAATAATTATCATGAACGGAGTTTATTTAATGATCTTAGTTATAAAAAGGTAGTGTTATCTTCTTTATAAAAGTTTCGGATTCGAGTAATTGCATTTGTAGGGAATGTATACCTTGTCAAAATCACTATGAACTGCTTGCTTTTTCTTCTGCAATTAGACTAATTGTTATAACGTCCAACATTAATTTTTATTATGAGAAATCTTTATCAGCTGTGAATAAACAAGGCTAGATAAGCTATTAATCGAGTATTAATTAAGCCGAATCCAAATCATAACGTTGTAATTTTAGGAAAGTTTTTAGATTTGGGCTTTGAGCTGAATCCAAAATACAATCTGATCCTATTTAACATCAATCAGTGAAAGAATGGGCTCTGAATCCAAAAATGTAAAACAAAAGCTTCTTCTTGTTGGTTCCATAAAAGAAAAACAGAAAATAGTCCGAGAAAATGATGGAAACCCATGCCTGATAGTTCGGGATTGAGCCCAATTTTAAATTGACCAAAACCCAGAGAATTTTCTTTTTATTATTCTACAAAATCCGGGGAAAAGATGAAGAAAAACAAGAAAAAGAAAAGGACCCACCCTTCGTATGACAGGCAAAGAGCAAATGGGTTTTTATTCATTTCCTTCCCCTCTTCACCAAAGCCTCACCTACATTGATTTTGTGATCAACCTCTTTATCTACAGCTCAGGTATTTTGTTTTCCAGTTCTCCTTTCTGTTTATGTATTTTGTTGGATATTTGATTTTTTTTTAAAATTCCTTTTCCTGTTTTATTTATGTATTTTGTTGGATATCTGGGGTTTTTTGTTTTGTTTCGACGATGTAGATTGTTGGTCTTAAAATATGTTTATAATAAAGGATGGAAAAAAGAAGATAATTTTCAGAGGTGTTGAGAAAGAAACGAATTTAGTTTGGGATTTTGTGAAAAGTTAAATGCAAATTAATATAGGAGAATTTCATGCTTTAAATAATTGATAAATAAACCTTAATTTTCATGAGCTATTTTTTCATCTTTTAACATGTTGGTTGATGGATTTTCAAATGGTTTCAATTCATAGTCTTCGATAATCCAACATTTCTTTTATTAGTTCTTAGGACATTAGGGTTCTTTAGAGACTTGAATAGTTGAATAGCCGATTTCAGACTTGGTGCAAAGAAGTAAGAACTTGAATTTGGGGATTATCTTGTATTTGATTGCTTAAAGCGTCTCCAGATATGACATTCCACCTCCATTAGGTAGGCAAGCTCCGGGTTAATGTTCCAATCGATCTGCCGGTTTCTTGATAAGGTAGCCTATGAATTGCTAGACTTATCTTGAGATCTGGGTCAGTTATGTTTTGTTCGGTTCGTTTTGTTTCTATGTTGAAATTTTTTACTGATATGGTGTGTTTTTCTTCTGCCTAGGGTGTCTGTGCTGGTTCTGATATTCCATGAAAATTTTCTTTATGTTTATATTGCTAATTCTTTTTGTTTGTTTATTTAAGAATTTGCAATTGGTTCTCATTGCATTGTCTTGAACTACCGGTGACTTTGGGCATCTATGGCCGGTATTGAGCAACACGAGGCAAGTGATTCTGCTTCATCTCTGATAGATCAGCTTCATAAGGCGATTCATGAACTGGAAGCTTTCAAGGATGCTTCTGAGAACAAGGTTCATTGGACAGAAATCAAACAATATTTCTGCAATCTCCAGGTGACATTAAAGAAGAAATCTGAAGAGCTAGAAGCTAAGGAGAAGGAGTACGTGGTGAAAGAAGCTGAAACTCTTGCGTTGATTGTTGAGAAGGAGACAATTGTTGCTACTAAGGAACAAGATTACTTAGACCGTGTCCAGGAGCTGAAAGATGCTGCTGTTGCTACCATTGCTGAGGCACGTGCAAATTTCCGGTCAACAGCTGCTGATTCTCTTGATTCTGGGGAAAATGAAGACACCAAGGTAAGAAGTTCTGTTGGTGATATAAACTCCCCCGATGAGGAATTTCCTTGTAAAACAAGTGAAAATACTGAAAACATAGCTGCCAATGTTAAGCTACGTCCAGAGCTGACAAAATTTTGTGAGCAAATGGATGCTAGAGGACTTCGAAATTTCATAACAGAGAATCTGAAATTTCTTAATGACATTTGTCGGGAACTTCCCCTTGCACTCGAAAGTGCAAGCGAACCAGCCCGTTTGGTGCTGAATTCACTGGAGGGGTTTTACCCTCCAGATGAAACAACTCAAACGGTGGATAAGACGGATGCTTCCCTTCAGGGCATGCGCAAGTCCTGTCTCGTCTTATTAGAAGCCATGGCTATCTTTTTTTCCAAAACTGACCCCGACGATACTCACCTTTTGAACCCTGAAATCAAGCTGCTAGCCAAAGCAATTGCTGATGAGTGGAGACCTAAGTTGTCTAATGCAGGCAGTGGTGCTGCCATTGACAATTCAGTGGAAGCGGAAGCATTTTTGCAGCTCCTTGCTACTTTTAAGATCGCTTCGGAGTTTGAGAAAGAGCAACTCTGCAAGCTTGTTTTTGTAGTTGCTCACAGCCTGCAGGCACCTGAGCTTTGCCGTTCCGTTGGATTAACACTGAAAATGCCAGGTCGGTATGGAGGCAGGACCATTGTTTCCATACGATGAATCTCAAGTTAACACTAATGTATTTGTCTTGCTGATGGCTATACCACAGTTTGGTGTTGATTTGCTAAACCAAGTCTTACTATGGCAGGTCTTGTTGAGTTATTGATTAACAGCGGGAGACAAGTTGATGCAGTACGATTTATTCATTCATTCCAGCTTACTGAAAGATTTCCTCCTGTGCCCCTCTTGAAGATGTTCTTGAAAGATCTGCGGAGAAACTCACAAGGGAAGGGCGGGGGCTCTCATGGTGCTGATGGTTCACAGGTAGTGTATGACAATCCGTTACTATGATTTATCTCTATACTAAAATACCATCCGGTGATTTCTTCTTCATATACAGGATGACATAAATGCACGAGAACTTGCTGCCTTGAAAGCCGTAGTAAGATGTGTTCAAGACTATGGCCTAGAAGCAGATTACTCCCTTGATCCACTCCAGAAAAGGTTGGCCCAACTGGAGAAAGCAAAAGCAGACTCGAAGAAAAGAGGGGAGATTCAGGTAAACATCACCCATGGAAGAAATCAAGACCCAACAGTGGATTTCGAGGATTTCGGGGACCTCCAGGTAGGCAAGCTCCACCGGTTTACAACCACAGGGCTGCATTTACAGGGATGCCGGAAAGGTATACTCATGTTGGTCCAAACCCCTACAGTTATCAAGTCCCGAGCCAACCGGCCTATGCCCATCAAGCCAATGATGAAAGATTCTACTACTATACTCAAGATGACAAAATTCCGACGCCGTCATACAATGCAGCTACATCCAACTATGGAAGCTACAGTGGCGGCGGATTGCAACCATCAAAGCAGCCATTTATGTAGTTTCGTTTTGTTAATATTACAGTTCACCATAGATGCATGATCAGTTCATCAAAGAATATTTTTCCCAATGTGGTGCTAACTGATAATATACTCATCCTTTTTCCCCGTTTAAAGCTTAAATTAACAGATTTTTATTAGTTTCTAATATACTCATAAGCATACATTTCGAACCTGCAATTTTCAAGTGAAGGAGCCAACAGATAATTAAACTGCAAATTTATACTAGACATACAACACACTAAATATAAGCTCGAGTGAGGAAAGCAGAAGGCATTTCAGTTTTCAATCTGCCGGAGGAAGTTGGAATTCCTCCACCGCTTCAGGCTCAAGTACGTGAGGCTTAGTAATCGACACCGATTTGCTTGACACGTCTTCACGCTTCGCCCACAAAGCCCTCTTGAAAGCTTGGGAATCACCGAGGCCGCCATTGTCACCGATGGCACAAAAACAACATCAGCGATCGATTTAATCATGCTCAAATGCGGCAAAAACTCTCCGGCTCTCTTCGCTGCCATGGCTGCGGGTGGTGTCACAATCCCGGTCATGATGGTGGTGTTGTCAAACTTTCTAAGCTTTATTGTCCTAATAAAATCAATAAAAATCTCTTTCTTCTTCCTCGGGTCTTGTTCCATTTTCCAGTCTTGGAAACGTTTTTAATTTTGATTTCATGAGAGCAGACGTTCATGAAAAGTTTAAAAGCAAAAATAAACGTAGACTGACCTCAACTTCATCGCGAGATGGGGCATCGTAATGTTTACCCAGTAATGCTTAGTTAATAACACTACACAATCAATCAAAAGATTGTTAAAATTAATAAAAAAAAAAGTGTATAGTTAATTTATTTATTTCTTACTTAAAGATATCGAGAACGGCGGCATGAAAATCATCGAAGTCTTTGATTTCGGAATCGGTGAAGTGTTCATGGAGCGATTTGAACACATGACTTAACATCTGTGTAGATGGCAACCCTGACATGAACCAAAACTGGATCATAGCAGCAGGCACATTATGCATGGAAATGTAAGTCATGTGTTGAAGAAATTGAATTAGTATAACATACCATTTGCCATGAAATTACCCATGTTGTTGTACAAGTAGATTCAACAACTAATGATATATTAGGCATGGAAGGTGGAAAGTGAAGGAATAAGGTGTTAGTTGATTTGTGACAGTTAAAGCTGCTCATAAAAGATGTTTTTCTTTACCAAACCATTAGCTTACCAGCAATTCAAAGTTGTTTTTATTAATTAGTAAACTTGATTAAGAATTTAAATTACTGGATTGATTGTTATTATGAATGTTATTATCGACAATAATAAATATCTTTTAAAAATTGTATTTTTTTAAGAAAAATACTAATCGGATCAATCGGGTGGAAAAGAGAAAGGGAGTAACAAAAATGAAAAATATATATAATTTATATATCCATTACCATTTATTTGTTTATATTATGTCTATTAATTTGTATTTTATTAATATCATTATATTACATTATTTTAGCTATTTTTCATCATGTAAATATTTTTGGTTTTCAATCTATAACTTTATTTGTTAAAGTTTTTTAGGAATATTTTCGTTGATATTTTATTTCAAATTGAAACATTATATCGAAGAGATTATTTGATGATTTTTTAGGACGTGTTTAAAGAATTGATTTGAGTGTTTAATGATGGGTTGGGTAACAAAAAAAATATTTGTACTTTCAAATAATTTGTTTTAAGTAACTAATTTTATATTAAAATGAAATAAACAATTATTAGTACATAAAATTAATTTAAAATTATTTTTAAGCTAGGATTTACATAGGACCAACAAGGGGGGGGGGGACTCTACAAAAAGTTGGGCCACATATTTTCATACTGATCAATTTAAAAATAATATTCATATCTAATTAAAAAAAATCATAAAAATATGAGCAGACACGCTGTGTAATGATATTTGAATTTAACGAAAAATGGCATGAACAAACTGCATAGTCTACTCTTTAAACAAAAGCTGTCAAGGGCGAGTAATAAAATTAATAGACAACCCATTCAACTTTCCTAAATCTGAGAATGGCAGCCATTAGGATTATATATTGGTTTTATATAACATTTAAACACAATAAATGTATCCAAATGAGTCTGGATTGATTGGTTTACAAAGGAGTCCGACTGTACCCGTTTACTGAGTGCGCATCCTGCTACATTCGGCTGCCCTCACTTGAGAGAAGTAAGGATGGACCTGCAGCAGGGAAAGAAATTGTATCACATGTCAAGCAATGGGGGTTTATTACTATGTTACTCGAACTCAGATGTACGCATCAAACACCGGAATGATCGGATTTTTTAGAGCCTTTTCAGGCATTTGGAGAATTCTTGAAAATCATATACCCGAATCCATTAGTCGGATGAGTGTTAGCACATATAGACCTACTATGGCTTCTTTTGCAGTTAGCCTGTCCTGATGGTCGTACCGAAGCAACTTATCAAGAAAATCGATAGCCTGAAAGTCAAAGAGCTCAAAGAATGAAAGTTACTATCAACATTTAACTGTTATAGTATTCAACTTCCTAACAGTATTCCTCAAGAAGAAAAATAACCTCTGGAGACACAAGATGCTGATTATCTGCATTAATAAATTTGGACCAAGGTTTGCGGCTGTGCCTGAAAAACAACATACCAAATACATTAATGGAGAAAATATTGCATTGCATACTACTAACATGTCTACTCATCCGTGTGTGAAACTGCAGCACCATAAGGTGCACTGTCATGGCTTAATGCTAACCAGAGATTTTGTTAATGATAAGTAAGAAATCCTGCACTATGTTGCATCGACTCTTCAATATTTTTCTGAAACCCATTGATGAGTGTTCAGAATAGTTAATATTTGCTCGTTATTTCTTCGGTTTTGTGGATTTATTGCTGTTGATTTGGTCGTGTTGTGCTTGTTTTCGTACAGGTCATTGTTTTCCAGAATTTGTGACAAAACAGGCGAATTCTGCATTTTTTTATTTAGTCACGGCTGGAGACATGGGCACGACTCTGGGCACGACGCGGTATGACGTGGCAGTTTCTAGAAGGTCCAGTCAGCGGCGGTTTCTAGAAGACTTCTTCTGCACGCCTTTTGGAAGATTGACGAGTAGAGTTGCATTACGAGACTAGTTTAAGTTTGAATTTAAATTTAAAAACAATTATCTTTTGAATTATTTTATTATTTTCTTTGCTTATCCTTTAGACTTTGAGATACTATAAATACCCACTTGGGGTAAGCCTAAAAGGATCATTCAGAATACATTCTTCTTTTCTCTCTAGTTTTTATTAAATCTTTTCTTTTTACTTTTCAAGTTTTGTTTTCATAAGCCGAGAGCTGTCGCGATGATTCAATTCCAACGGAAGAATTGAAACGGTCCCTTAATATCTTCGGAATATCTCTCTCAATCTCTGCGCTTATTTTTCACAAATCAAAACAGTTTTCAAAATCAAAGATTGACTTTGGTCAAGAGGTTGTTGCGATTAAAACGTGTGGGAGGAAGATTCGGCTTATAGAAAGCAATTCGACTTCCTGGGAACACACTTGGCGAGATAGCTTCGCCAAGAGGGAATTGAGATCGGAATTGACGATTATAGAAACAACAATCCGAGTCGGTCGCCACGAACTTAAACGGTATTTGATCTACGACAATAGATGTTGTTAGAATCAATTACCGAAGCCGGAATCAAAGATTGCCTTGGGTATCCGGTATACAAGATAGAGTCACAAGGATAGCCCTTGTAGACAAAGTAACCGACGTGAATCCCGAAAAGAAAATCTTATTCGATGATCTAAGGAAATTGAGTCAAAGCGAAGCTCGAGGCTATTTTTACAGTATTTATTTACAGTCTTTATTATCTTATTTTTACTTCAATTGTTTTTATTTATTTAATCGCTTTTATTACCTTTCTACCAAAACCCCCCCTTTTTATTACTTTTCACGCCTGGCATAAATAAATCAGACAGAAATTTATAATTTTCTAAGTCCCTGTGGATTCGACCCTACTTCTCTACGCTACAAATTTTCCTTTAATTATTATCCGAGAAGAAGGAATTTATTTTGACATCGAAACGACAGTTGTCAAATTGACGCCGTTGCCGGGGACTTCGCCAAAGTTACTAATTTTTGTTTGTTTCTGATTTATGACCATGACTAATCCGGGCACATTAGTGGAGTACAACCCGGAGAACGAAGCTGAAGCTAGGAGACTCCACGCACAGACACTTCTGGCCAAGATTTTAAGAGATCTTTGTGAGAATTTTCGAATTTCTCATGAAGAATTTCTTAGCTGGAAAAAACGAATGAAGTTGAAGTGTTTGTCACGAAACCTGTAGTCTGAACCAGGTCGTCGAGCTAATGACGTTAAATAAAGCGCTTCATGGGAGGCAACCCATTGTTTTCAATTCCGTTATATTTTTATTTTTATTTTTTCTTTTATTTTTTTTTTCCGATTAAGCATATTTTATTTAATTTTGCAGGAATTTCAAACTTAAACAACGAAGAATTGAGAGATTATCGTCCGAACAATGCCAAATTCTACCCCTAGGAGCATGTAACGGTGCACGTTAGCACACTTCTAAGGAGACCGGTCGACAGTAAATCCGGGGAGTACTCTGTTCCTTCTCTTGCACTTTAATTTTTTTTTCGTTTTGAGGCAAAACGCTTTAAGTGAGGGAGAGTAGAGTGTAGGATTGAATTTCATTTCGCTTATCTTTATGCTTTGAATCTAGTATGTGTTGGTTGAATTGGTCGGAAATTTCATTAATTACCTTTGTCTTGTTGAAATTTTTTTGGAATGCTATGCTTGCTTGGGAACACATAATTGTTTAGGTTAGGATATTATTGATAGCGAATAGCATGAATTGTGATAAGTTGATATTTTTGTGATATTCCATGACTTTGTTGGTTGAAATGTGATTAGCTCAATGCATGAAACAATTTGGTGAGATTTGAGCCTTTACGAGCATATCATTTTCGCTCTCATTTTGTTTGATTGAGTGTGTCGAATTTGGCATTGGTATTCTAGAACCTGCATGTTAAATACTGTCGAGATTACACATGAACATGATGCTTAAAAATGATTTGGGCACCTTAAGATTAACCATTCCGTTTCTCCACTAAATAGCTTACCCATGCATATTTTCCTTTAGTTAAACACTTTTGAGCCTATTCCCGTTTCTTTGTTTCCACCATATTCATAAACCCGAGCTTTTTTATTTTATCCCTCTTTTCTACTTTTTTCAGGACAAGTGAATAATTTTACCATTGTATTCTCCATCACAAAAAAAAATGTTGAAAAAAAATAGCAGTTCGAAAAAGAAAAAAAAAAAACTATTTGAAAAAAAAAGACATGAAAGAAAAAATGGAAAACAAAACAACAAAAGTGTGAAAAAGAAAAAATGCATTTCGACGAGAAAATTGTTGTCTTTTTATCTTGTTGTGCTTAATGTTTTGATGGAGTTGAGATTATTATTTATTAGTTCCTTGCCTTGAATTTTAGCCATATATTTAGCCTTTTCCCCACCTTTACCTAAGCCACGTTACAACCAATAAAAGACCCTTTGATTTATGCATCTTGTTCTTATTAGTAGTGGAGATTTGATTTACTTGCAGGCTTATGTTAATATCGTGTCGATTCTGACATTAAGTGTTTCTTTACCTCAAACACATTGAGTGATTTGAGTAAATCCCGGTAAGGTATTGAGTTATGAGCATTGAGATTTATGAATGAATGGATATTACAATTGCACTTGACTTGTTTCAATTGGTGATGTTCAGTTGATTGATTTCTTGACTTCAATAGTTATTGTGGTCTCTACCTTGCTTCCTTGAATATGAAACTTGACAAAGAACGTTTAATGAAGTTTTTGACTGATTTGGTTAATCATACTTGAGAACAAGCATGAGATAAGTGAGGGGGAATTTGATGAGTGTTCAGAATAGTTAATATTTGCTCGTTATTTCTTCGGTTTTGTGGATTTATTGCTGTTGATTTGGTCGTGTTGTGCTTGTTTTCGTACAGGTCATTGTTTTCCAGAATTTGTGACAAAACGGGCGAATTCTGCATTTTTTTATTTGGTCACGGCTGGAGACATGGGCACGACTCTGGGCACGACGCGGTATGACGTGGCAGTTTCTAGAAGGTCCAGTTAGCGGCGGTTTCTAGAAGAGTTCTTCCGCACGCCTTCTGGAAGATTGACGAGTAGAGTTGCATTACGAGACTAGTTTAAGTTTGAATTTAAATTTAAAAACAATTATCTTTTGTATTATTTTATTATTTTCTTTGCTTATCCTTTAGACTTTGAGAGGCTATAAATACCCACTTGGGGTAAGCCTAAAAGGATCATTCAGAATACATTCTTCTTTTCTCTCTAGTTTTTATTAAATATTTTCTTTTTACTTTTCAAGTTTTGTTTTCATAAGCCGAGAGCTGTCGCGATGATTCAATTCCAACGGAAGAATTGAAACGGTCCCTTAATATCTTCGGAATATCTCTCTCAATCTCTGCGCTTATTTTTCACAAATCAAAACAGTTTTCAAAATCAAAGATTGACTTTGGTCAAGAGGTTGTTGCGATTAAAACGTGTGGGAGGAAGATTCGGCTTATAGAAAGCAATTCGACTTCCTGGGAACACACTTGGCGAGATAGCTTCGCCAAGAGGGAATTGAGATCGGAATTGACGGTTATAGAAACAACAATCCGAGTCGGTCGCCACGAACTTAAACGGTATTTGATCTACGACAATAGATGTTGTTAGAATCAATTACCGAAGCCGGAATCAAAGATTGCCTTGGGTATCCGATATACAAGATAGAGTCACAAGGATAGCCCTTGTAGACAAAGTAACCGACGTGAATCCCGAAGAGAAAATCTTATTCGATGATCTAAGGAAATTGAGTCAAAGCGAAGCTCGAGGCTATTTTTACAGTATTTATTTACAGTCTTTATTATCTTATTTTTACTTCAATTGTTTTTATTTATTTAATCGCTTTTATTACCTTTCTACCAAAACCCCCCCTTTTTATTACTTTTCACGCATGGCATAAATAAATCAGACAGAAATTTATAATTTTCTAAGTCCCTGTGGATTCGACCCTACTTCTCTACGCTACGAATTTTCCTTTAATTATTATCCGAGAAGAAAGAATTTATTTTGACATCGAAACGACAGTTGTCACCCATATCGAGCATGTAATTGAAAATAGGTACGGGGATATGGCCCTCCAAAGACCCACCAGGAACCCTCCAAATATATATAAAAACTTAGAAACAATTAAGCATACCCATACCCGTATCAGACACTCACACTGGAGACCAAGTAACATTGAACCTGCATATTGGACATATTAATTCTTAATATACCTTCCAACAAGGGCATCAAGTTGAGGATCCAGCTCTAAATGGTATTTGTTCAGATATGCATTTAACTCGTCAGTTCCTAGCACCTGAAGTTACATTAATGGCAGTTCAAAGCTTTGTAGCATCAGCATAAACTGGCAAAACTTTGTTAAGAAAGCCGTAAAAGAAAAAGGAATATAGAGCTTCTTGTTTGATAGTGCATATAAAGTACACCCCCTTATCCTCTATCAAGTAATGAATATGAAGAAGGAATAATTAAATTGAAACCTGCATGGATAATGCTGCATCTACAGCACTAGCAGATGCTTGAAAAGGTTGTGCAGATGTAGATCACAAAAGCAAGATGGATAATATAAGTTGGAAGAGGTAAAATACTAATATATTACGGATAGGAGTAAAAAAACATGCATTATACCAGCTGGAAAGTCAATTTAACAAGATAAATGATAAGGAAAATAAATATTCAGAAACAAAATTATAACATCTGCCAATCTGCAGATGCATATTACCTTGGCAATTTTAACTAGTTGATCATGGTTGTCACGGCCATAGAAGAATGGTTCCTTCCGGAATATCTACTCAATCAAACATCATAACTACTCTATTAGGCACCCAATATTGAAGTTTCAATTGAAAGCTTAATGCATTTAAACTAGAATAAGAATATTTGTCACCATTCCTGCGAACATACAACCAAGGCTCCACAGGTCCAAGGAATAATCATAGTCCTGCAGATCTACCAGAAGCTCAGGCCCCTTAAAGTACCTGAGAAGTAAGGAAGGAAATTGAACTTCTCAGAATTGAATCTATATTGTAGCTGACAGCCTGACACAGAAAACTGAAGGACAACACTTGGAAATGTATTAAGATTCCAAAAAATGAAAATCTGTTTAGTTGTATTGTTCTTAAAAGATTATAGGTATTTTCTTCTTTTTAAAAGGTTCTTGTATCAAAGAATAGCATAATCTAAAGGATCTGAACTCTGGAGCTACTTCTCACCCTCGAATGGTTGGAAGTAATAGCTCTTGTCTATATAAAAGATAAAAACAATAATAAAGGCAGAAGTACTCTTCAAGCATCCAGCTAGTTCTTTAAAAATAAATAAATGTGGCACTATCTAATTTTCTTAAATTTAATACAAAGAAAATTCAGATAGGTAAGTCACTTCAAGGTATAGCACGACAAGCATACATGTAATTAATCCCAAAATAATTTTCTTAATTTTTTTAGAAAAGAACTAATATCTAATGCCAGTCTGTTTCAATTTCTCCATTAAAATAAGCAATCTTGAAAAATACAAAGGTATACGAGGGGGAAAGTTGGTCTTATGATTCATGATGTCTTCAAAGCATTACCTGGAAGCCACACGGACATTATACTCTTTCCCAGGATGGTAAAACTCCGCAAGTCCCCAATCGATCAAGCGAAGTTTGCGCAGCTCATGATCTATCATGACATTGTGAGGCTTGACATCTCTATGCATTATTCCTTGTGAATGGCAGTAATCTAACGCCTACAAAGCAAAGAAACATCTCCTTATCATTCTATACTACAAACATGCATGTCAGGAACCCTCCAACAAGCAATCACCAAGCAACACCATAATGCAGCAAAGTTCAATACTACTGAAAGTTGAGGAACATAATGTTTACCTTGAGAAGTTCATATATATAGTAGCGAATGTCATAGTCTGTCAAAGTTGGGTAGAGAACTTTGAAATCCGTACTGTTGACGAACTCAAATATCAAGCTTGGTGTTTTTGAGTGCGGATCTCTCACTATATCAAGAAGTTTAACAATATTCGGGCCACCACATAGATTCTGAAGGATTTTAATCTCTCTCTTTATCTGCCAATAATAGTAATAATAAATAAAGCTTATTTCTATACTCTATAGCCAATAATTCTCCAAAAAAAAATCCCATGTTTGACATATATTTGGGCAAAGGTACAGGGATTATTACTCTTCAAGTACATAGATTTTTTTCTTTTAAAAAGAATCAAACACATGCTCGTATCCAACATTACCATCCAAATCCAAGTAACATAGTCTAATTGTGATCGTGCCTTAAGATTTTCTCATATAAATTTACTCGAACCCCGACCAATGTGACAGATAACAAAAGTACTAACCTTCTTTTTCTTGACAGGTTTGAGGATCTTGATTATACAGCGCTCATTGTTGTTGACATTTATGCCCTCAAAAACCTCACTGTATTTTCCCCTTCCGACTTTTCGAACAACCTCATAATCATCTTGATCACTAAAGAGAAACAAGAAAAAGAATAAAAGAACTTGCACCAATCATGAACTGAATCAAACGACTAAAAGATCCGGATTATATGTAAAAATGTTAGACAAATGCTCAAAGGAAACGCGGTTAGTAAGGTTCAAAGATCTCGTTAAATTAACCTACTTCCACAAATCATGAATTGGCGTCACTCGAAGAAACATAGTGTAACTTTCAATTAAAACAATCAAAGGGCAAATCCAATAATCAAGGATCAAGGAACTTTTCGAGGAATTAATTTAAAATTACCCCCATTGAACAGTGAGGGACTCGTAATCCCAGTACTCCTTGGGACGAACAACGTTGACGTCAGTATAAACGCGAGATTTGGACATGATTCGTCGGCGGATCGGACAGGAGATCGTCGATCTTAATCGCCACCAGGGTGGGCGAAGGGAAGGCGGGAGGCGACGATGGCGCAAAGTAGCGATAGGCAGAATAAAAGTGGAAGGTTGGCGCGTCGCGTTTCATTAATTCAAGACAATTAGGCTTTGCCCGTTTATTTTCATTTTTAAATTGTTTGTCATTTAATTTAAGCTGGTTCGGGTTTACAATCCGACTAATGAACCATTCTAAGTGAGATATATCAAATTTGATTTTTTTAAACAAATTTTAAATTTAATTTTAATGAGGAAAAAGAAAAAAAGAGGGACACTGGTGACTTTAGAACTTATAATTTTAAAAAATATAAGATAATAAAAATAAACAACTCAATTAATCGATCAAATGTGATAGTTAATCAAATGTAATATCTATTTAAATTAATAATAAGTTTATATAATAAAAGAAATCATATGAAATTGGATAATAATCAAACAATTTTTTTAATAAAATATTATTTTAATTGATATTTTATTTAAAAATATCCTTAAATAGTTGAAAATTATTAAGAATACATTTTTTATACATGGAAGCGACTAGTGAAAAAGAACCAATTGTAAAGAGTTACACGAATGCTAACTTCTAAACTAGTAAGGATGTTTCACTATCAGAATCAATTTTTGTGTTATATTTTAATAAAGGTGTAGCATGTGTTGTAAGTGGAAAAATCTCAAAGTGAAATTGTAAAATAGATTGTTTGGATAAAAAAGTTTATACATATATATATATATATGTAAGTTTAAAATAATATATATTTAAAGATAATTTTTAACTATTTGACATTTAACGTTTTTACCTTTAATATTTATGATGTTTGAACCAAAGACCTTAAGAAACAACAACAATTCATTTATCCATTAACTCTCCCAACTTTTATTCCTATTAACTATCCACTTAATCTAATAAAAATGAATTGCGTGAATCATTGTCTCCTGTTTATATCATTTACAAATCATAATTAATTTAGAGTATTTCCTAAAAGAAAACTAATTTTTGTTGTTATATAACAAATCTATATGTCGTTAATCCACAGGATATATAATTTTAAAAATTATACCAAGTGTCAACAATCTCTAAAATATGTAGTTAAAAGTTCTCAGTTGATATTTTATCTCTTTTCTTTTGGTTGTGGGTTCATTACCCATCAAAAGCAAAATTTCCCTTTCATCTCCCTTAAATAGGAATTATTAAAAAAAAATTATACCAAGTAAAAAATTGTCAATGCAAATTAAATCTATATCCCTTATTAAAAAAAACAATAGCTCACAGTTAGAATATTTTTTATTTCCATTAAGTATTTTAAAATGAAATATACAATTTTAATAATGTGAAAGTGAAGATTAAATTCTTTAAGAATTTGATATTTTAAGTTCAACTTGTCATGTGAAATTTTGCAATGAGTTATAAGTTACAATCATATTTGATTATAGTTTACTATGGTCAAGTTACTCCAATTTTGTTTTAGTCTAAGAATATATTTTAATTACTGGTTTGGAACTCATTAAGTGGGTTCGATATTAAAAGAGAATGTTGATATTCTTTAAGATCTTAAATTCAAATAATAACGTATGAAGAACATGTGTTATAAATAAATTAAAAAAATTATAATAAAATTCTACTTTGTAATCTCCTAAAATTATTAAAAAAATATTGGTTTAAATTATGCGCTGTAACAATAATTTGTAGTTTTCTTTATTCGATTTGCGTTAATTGTGATTGCACTTGAAAACTTCAAAAACAATTCTGATAATGTAAAAATATAATTTAAACTATATAATATTTGCTGAAGTATTTAATTGGGCTTAGCGGGCAGCTTTCGGCCTAAAAGAATAAGACCAACTTGAGCTCAATTGGTCATGATTTTGAAGACCTCCAATCTCCATTCTCCAATGAGTAATTGATTAATCAGCCCAAAATTCAACTCGTGCGTGCCCCAATTACCAAGCCGAACAATAGACGATCCTTGGCTAGGTTTATTCATAAGCTGCACGTTCTTTCGTATCAGGAAAAAAAAAAACCCCACTTAGATCAGGATGGACCGAGAGCATGCCCGTTTCTAAGATTTTGATAGTAATAAATATTAAAAAAAATTAAATATTAGAGTAATAAAAAACAAATTAATTTGTTTGTAAATGTATTTTTATTGCATTAACAACTTATCTAATAAATATAACAAAGTTTAAATAGAAAATACTACACATAATATCAAAATTAACCCCTAAAATTTAACAAAATAGTTATTCTTATTCTTTTCTGGAGCATTTTGACTCTAACGTTTTATTTTAGGATAAAAAAATCTATAATATTTGACAAAATAATCACTTTTATTTTTATTCTTTTTTTGGGTACTTAGACCCTCAATCTTTTTTTAAATCTCTTTAAAAGTTTTAAATTATTTTATATTATAGATATTTTTTATAATATATTTTAAATTTTTAAATTTTTATAAATTTAATCTTTAAAATTTTATAAATTTAATCTTTAAAATTTTATAAACTCGTTCTTTTAACATAAAATTACGAGTACAACCACAAAGGACGTAGTGTTGAGTAGCCAATTATTGCCATTATATATAGGAAGAAAATGCCTCCATAGTTAGAAACACTACCTTTTATCAGTCGTGCTGTAAAGCTTTCTTCTTTACTTGATTTTGTCTCTCAGCATGTGTCACAGTTCTTGGCATCCGATGATTCCGGTTCCATAATTCACTGTCTTTTCTTTTGTTGGTTCTGGGAACGAGACACGGGCAGCCATTGAAAGAGCTTAAGCAACGACATTAACCCTTTCCTGTCTATTTAGCTCTTGATCAAATGGATCTATCCCTTAATAACCTTGCACTTGTCATTTTTCTCTCCTTGAGTCTTAGTTTCTGCTTGTTTCCTGGTACAGTGTTAGCTAAGCTAAGAAAAAATTACTACCACAAAACTTGTCCCAATGTAGAGAACATTGTTAGAGATGCTGTCACCAAGAAATTCCAACAAACTTTCGTCACGGCTCCGGCAACGATCCGGCTCTTCTTCCATGATTGCTTTGTCCAGGTTCATTGAAAGAACACCCATGTGTCCATATTGGCAAAATTTGTTTTCTTTTACTAATGTTTGTTGTATTTTCATTTTATTTCCACAAGGGTTGCGATGCTTCGGTGATGATCGCATCCTCCGGTGGCAACAAGGCGGAAAAAGATCACCCGGATAACTTTTCGTTAGCCGGAGATGGATTCGACACTGTGATCAAAGCCAAAGAAGCTGTGGATGCGGTTCCAAGTTGCAGAAACAAGGTCTCTTGTGCTGATATCTTGGCAATGGCTACACGAGATGCTATTGCACTGGTTTGTCCCCTTCCTTTCAATTTAGGAATTTACATCCATGATAAACACAACGAGATTAAAAATTCGTTCAAAAAAACAACTATAACTTACATTTATACTCTTTCCTGAAATTTATTTATTCAATCACGATAAATACCACGAGATCTATAATACAATATTATGATATTACAGTTAGGTGGACCGTATTATGAGGTTGAGCAGGGGAGATTAGATGGGTTAAGTTCAACAGCAGGTAATGTGAACGGGAAGCTGCCTCAACCATTTTTCAACTTGAATCAGCTTAATTCTCTATTTGCAGCAAATGGACTCACCCAAAAAAAACATGATTGCTCTTTCAGGTACTAAATCTTATTCGAATTCGTACATATATTTTAAATAAAAATATGTATCTTTTACGAGTATGCTAAGTTTTTCAAAAACATTTGAATGATTGTTTTCTCCTAAAAAATAATAATAACAAAGAGTTAAAACATGATGATGGATAAATGTGTGTCGGGTCCCTTCGAAAGTGCACTGTGTCCCTTGTGAGTTGATCTATATTTATATTAGCTGGCTTTAGTTATGGAGATTATAAAAGCAATAGGACTTTTCTTTTTGAAACTATAAAAGCAATATGATTAGGGTGTGCCTTCAAATCAACTTTTTTTCTTAATATGAAAAAGGGTATTTTAAGTAGTCCCAACATTGAACGTTAAATCATGATTGCATATAAACAATAAAATCCGTTTATCCAATTAAAATCGGATATGTCATAGATTTTTTGTAAGAGATTCTTTTAGTCAAATTTGTTTAACTCATGACATCAAAATTTGAAATTATGATTTTATTTTAGGGATTTAATACTTTATCCTACTATACTAACTTATTCACGGCATTAGTGTGTACATTTAATCATAAACACGAGACGTTGAATTTTTATAATTGCAGCGGCCCACACTGTTGGGTTCTCCCATTGCAGCAAGTTTGCGAACCGAATACACAATTTCAGCCGTCTAAACGCAGTGGACCCTGCACTGGACCGAGGCTACGCCTCCCGGCTTCGACAAATGTGCCCCAAAAACGTCGACACCAGGGTGGCCGTCGACGTGGACGTGAAAACACCAAGGAAATTCGACAACGTTTACTTTAAGAACCTGCAGAAATCTGTTTAGCTCGGACCAGGTTTTGTTCAGTGACCCAAGGTCTAAACCAACTGTAAACGGTTGGGCCAACGACTCATATGCTTTTAAACAAGCGTTTATTGCTGCCATTACTAAGCTGGGGAGGGTAGGTGTTAAGACTGGGAACAAGGGCAATATTCGTACAAACTGTGCTGCCTTTAACTACTAAGACCGTTCCATTTTGAAAATGAATAGCGTTTTGCTTTGATATTATAATGAGCTAAGAAATGGGTTTATGTCTTAGCAAGCCATTGGTTTAAAGTGGGTGTTTAACGTTTTTTTCTGTTAGTAACGACTGTTAAAAAAATCCATTAAAATTCAATTAACCAATCCGTCATTGGCTTATTGCTTTCAATTATTTTCATTAGCTACAAGTTTTCATAGTGATAACATCTTTCATACGTTTATGTTGCGATGCCTAGTTGAGGCAAACATATCATAAACACAATGTTATAAGAACACTTGTGCAAATTCTCTTAGACCATTAAATAAAAACTTGAACCAATCCAATTATCCGAAACAGTTAATCTGAAAACTGCGATCCTCGAAACCGATTACCTAAAGGGATGTTAGTGACTGACAAGAAACTTATCCTAAGATGTTTGCAAGCCAAATTTTCTTGTCCTGCTTACGAGCATATGATGTGCTCAGTAATATATAGACAGTGTTCGATGATGTTGGAGTGACTGGCATTGAACACCTACAGACCAAAGCCAAAGATCTAACTCCACACTCAGAACCTGAAAATCACAAAAGGAGGTCCATAATTATCAAAAGTATTACAAAAAAGGAGGAAAAAAAACTGAGGAACTGCAGAAGAACACATAAACATTGAACTACACCATCATAATTGATTATTTCGGTTTAATACAGTCCAAATAGATTGCAGAAGAAAACTCAGTGTTGGACTAACTTATTATTCCATTTCATAGCATATAATCAATTATCCAAGAATTCCTCAGCAAAAGGAATATAGGCCAACTCGAAATCGATTTCTTCCCATCAAGGATGGCACTACATGATTCATTTGAGGGTATGGAAACCTTTACTAAGAGAGTTTTACACAACTATAACTCATAAATAGACATTAAGAGTAAGCGTATGAGTATGTTCAAAGCATTCTGACCTACCTGCTTTCCGGACTTAATACTTAGTAACTCTCTCATTTTCTCCACAGCATAAATCGAGCATGCCCGTAGTTCAACTTCCTCTTCCGTGCCAGCACCTATTTCGCTGCTAGCCTGAATGGCATTTGCAAGTGTCGAACTATATTTCAGCACACCGAGCTGCTGGAGCACAGCTGGAACAATATAATCGGCAAACATAGTGATCGAGCCAATATCATTGAATTCTCCATACCCTTGGCCCTTGAATGCACCCCACAAGTCAGCAGCAAATATTTGTGCTCTTTTGTACAAGAATACCTGATGCCCTTTGTACACCGAGTGATCTCGAAAGCCTGCAATATTTTCATCATACACTTTTTGATTATTCAGCGTGATATATTTTCGGTTAATTATATCAAAGTGATTCGAAACTGTACCTGGAAAATGACGTGTGACGAGTGCGACAAGCTTTACAGCTGATTTTCCACATGATTCAACAAGTTTCGATGCCTTACCCTCAAAGCTTCTTTCAAGTTCAAAACCAACCTAAACCATGAAAATTAACGATATTGAACGCTGATTAACAAGACAATAGCATCCATACTATCTATGGAATTCGAATGCTAAAACATTGAAGTTAAATATTTCCGAGATGAGACAAAAAACCCTGATTAGTAAAACATACTGCACCTCATGCAACAAACGAACCCGTTCCTCCTCCAAAGGAAGTGGTCGAGGCCATTTCAATAGCTCACGCAGTTGAGGACCTGAACACAAAGATCAGTGTATCATTTCCTATCAATACGAAGAGCGTGCGAATACAATGGTGAAGTTTATGATGGGGTCAAACACATAAACAAGACCACTTATTGATAAGAGAACATGTCAACAATTACATAAATGGTATTTACAGACAAGAGAAGACCGGAATTTCAAGACCAAACAGAATTACCTGTGTATTTTTGCAGACGGTCTGCATCGAATGCGGAGTTGTCATTAAGCAAAGCATCCTTTAATCCCTTGGCCAAGTGATCATAATTTAGATCCTTATCTATGAAGAGTAACACCAATACATAAGGAGGAGAAAATGTAAGTTTAGAATTCTAATACTCATTAATGGCAATAACAAATGTTTCGCTAACCATTACTTCCTTTTGCACAGACAGATTACAATGAAGTCAAAACAACACCATCAATCAAAACTATACTTCAGTGTTTCTACATTTTCAGAGAGAAAAACCCAGAATATATAAAAAGAAAAAATTGAAATTTACCGGGCCAAAAACAGAAATTCAAAGCATCCAAAACAAAAAGGTATTGAACGGTGAGGGGTCCATTGTCAAAATAATGAATCCCTTCGTAATCCCACTCCACTTTCGGAATCGACTCTTTCATTTTCTCCACTACTTTCTCGATCCCTGCACTCCAAAAGAACCCACAATCATATTCTTTTAATGTAGAAGAACCCAACCTTTTCAATAAGAAAAACAGAGGAATATATACACATATATAGAGAGAGAAAGAGAAGAACCTGAAGAATCTATGGTAACGTGAGAAGAATTATGAGCCACCCAAGCAGAGCTTCCTCTCACTTCCTCCATAGCCGCTGCGTTTTTTAGAAAGAAGAAGAAAAAGAAAAACAGAGTCCTTCGAACAACCCTAGAGAAAACTAAAGATTTTAAAAGCCAAAAAGGAAAATATAATGGTCAATTTTTCTATACTATCTACCGCACATGAACCCATATTTTACGAGCCATTTGTTCACGTTTATTCAAGTTTTTCCGCTTTTGTCAGTTTGTTGGACAATGTGGTCTGACATTAACCATATCTTGCTCGGGGGACAAAAGAGTTCGGTCGGTGTACTCGAGTATGGAGATTGGTTTGCTGAACCTGGACCACGGCCAGGAGGCTGGCCCATTTTTCACGTGCTTGAGAACCGGGAATGGGTTCGGTTTGCTTTTACTTTATTGAATGGGAACCGGGGAATGGCTGCCGGAAGAAAAGTGGAAAGGCTAACCCTTTTTGACGAAAGGTTGGACCGGTACTGCCGACATAGCATTGGTTCATTCGAACTTGGAAATTGTGGTTTTTTTTGGGGTTTCTTGTTTTGTTTGAGAACTTAAAAAAGTTGGAGAATCCTCCAAAATTAAGAAAAAAGTGTTAAAGATATAGAAAAGACTAATTTTACTGAAAAAAGTAAAGATAATACACATATAATTTAATTCTACCTCACGAATATGTGCAATGTGTTCTGTGATTTTTTATTTTTATTTTCGGTGGTTTAGCATGCTATGTGATGCTTGTTAATGGTAAAATGTGTAAACTTATGTTCAAAATTTATTTGAAATAAAATATGTATTTTTGTTGTATAAGGAATGTGATTTGCTATTTTATATGGATTGAGATCACGAGTAAGAGTGTAAATACTTTTTTATATATTATGGATTAAAGATATAAGAGTGAATGAGGATACTCAACTTTTGAGACGTATATAAAATTATATGTCAACATCAATAACTAGTTATTCAATAACTCGATTCTGTATCATAATTCATCTAATTGGATATCTTAATAACTAATTGAATACGTGATCGATAAAATGATAGTAACTAGCTTGCAATAAAGTCTAATGTATATTCTAATGTCCGTATCAAATCATGTTATTTGCCTTTGACACTTTATGTTTGTTTATGTTTAACCTGCGTGTAATATACGTTTTATGTTGTATTTGTTAAGTAGTTGTGTATTATTAAGCTTTATAAAGTTCAATGTTTGAAACATTTCTCCTCGTAGATAGTTGGATTAGATTTAGTTTAAGTCAGGGCAACAACTTCCTCAAGAGAGTTTTAGTAGTCATCATATTCGAGTATAATATTATTATTTTTAATATTTTGAGGTGATTATAATATAGTATCTGTTCAAAATTTTCTTAACATAATGACAACGTTTTAGGGTGAAATAAAGTTTTATTGGCCAATTTTTTAACGTTTTAGGGTGAAATAAATAACCTAAATAAATGTTAGGGTATAACAGTAAAAAAAATTAGGGTGATATTCTATAAAAAATATAATTTAAGAGACAAATTATGCTTTAAGCCATATACTAAAAATAAAAATATTCATGCGTGGCAAATGACATATACTAGTATACGACACTTACCCAAATACAAATAAATCAAGAACAATTACAAAATATAAGAACCAGCCTACTTCTTGGCCTACAAACACAAATGTTCAAGAAAAAAACCTTGATCATGGAGACTCTTGATAAAAAAAAACTCTCTATTTACCATTTTAATGGCAAGAAACTCAGTAAATTGTCAACAAATAAGAAAGAGAAACAAAAGGTTCATAGTCACTAGAGAATCTTACACCACAAGGAGACATTTAAATCTTCGTTGATGTTCTTCACAAATCAACATGTATGCTCTGTTTTTTTAGGGTTCACACCGGGATCATCTTTAAACCGGCAGCAATCGGCATGCCTATGAACCCGATGAGGACGCTTAGGCACCACTGCGCACAAGTGAGCGGCGTTGTGCTTGCAAATGCACCCAGAAATTCGATGATGACGACTTGGAAAACTGCAGTGCAGAAGAGAACAGCCACGAAAACGTAGTTATTCAATATGCCGCTGAAAACATCTATTTCCTCCATGTTTCGTGAGCTTATCTCGTTGAAAACCTGTTGGGAAAGAAAAATGAAAACAAACCAAGTATTGTCATTCCTGCTTGATTGCTTCTATGCATGCCAAATGAGGGCAAGCTAAAGATCAAGCCTAATCAAATGAGTTAAAACTGTTTGATCTTTATCTCTAAATCGTTCAGATCGAATTCGAGTCGAACTTTGAAGAGTATGGATGAGTTCTTGTTAAAATGTTTTACCTGACAGAAGACAAACGAATTGAAAATAAGTGTGTTCAATATCAGATTAGAATCAGGGCCATCGAGACTAAAAATTGCTTTCCCTCTTGCCTGAAGACACCATATTACCACCAACTGATAGAAAGATTGCCCAAAGATGTTCCTCCACATGACGTTGCTGATAAAATTTCCTTTCCTTCCCACCGGTGCACGCTTCATTAGTTCGTCGGTCGGCGGCTCGGTTGCGAGTGCAAGTGCTCCCAAAGTATCCATAATCATATTCACCCACAATAGCTGAACAGCCGTCAGGGGAGCGCTTCCTGCAGCATATGAAAAAGTGATAAAATCTATGTTGATCGAATTTTGTTTGACACTCGTGTATTACACATGGATACGAATACATATCGGTATTTGATATTCTCATCCGAATCGAAATAAAAAGTTATTATCATTCACAAAGAAATGTAGAACATGAGCTTAAAATAGAAGTGGGGCAAAACATGTTCCTTTCTTACCTGTCAAACATGCTGAGGAGAAGTTAACGATTAAGGCAACAATGTTGACGGTCAGTTGAAACTGTACAAATTTTTGAATATTTATGTATACTGAACGGCCCCATTTGGCCACAGTCAAAATTGTTGTGAAATTGTCATCCAGAATTATGACATCAGCACTCTCCTTGGCCACCTGGAATTAAAAGCAAGATTTGTTTGATCTTCTTCATTTGATTGGTACAAGATGCATGCACAATGAGAAAATATTAATGCATTGCTGACCTCAGTTCCAGCAATTCCCATTGCCAACCCAATATCTGCTTCATGTAGGGCTGGGGCATCATTTGTTCCATCACCAGTCACGGCAACAACTTCATCGAATGTAGTTCGTAACTGCTTTACCAGAGTATGCTTGTCCATAGGAGAAGATCGAGCTATCACCTGCAACAGAATGGAAGTATGGAACATTGAGGTATTTGAAGCACCTAACTGGTATTTGAAGCAAAGAATAACAATGTGGAGTATACCTGAATCTTTGGAATTAAGTTAAGCATTTCTTCCTGTGTCTTCTCTCTGAAATCCGGGCCTTCGATGGCTACGCCATCATCTGTAAGAATTCCACATTCCCTGGCTATAGCCTTTGCAGTGTTTATGTTGTCTCCGGTAACCATTCTTACAGTAATGCCAGCGGTACGGCAAGTAGCAACAGATTCTTTGACACCAGGGCGTACAGGATCTTTAATGCCAACAATTCCTAAACAAGTATACCCTGAAACCGGAATAGCACTGTCCGGGGAGAAACCTCTTTCGAGTTCCATGTAGCCGAGACACAGGGTTCGAAGAGCCTCATTAGCAAACTGGTTTATTGTGTCATTGAGGTGCTTAATGGTTCTTTCATCTAAGGGAACAACTTCTCCATTAGAATTGATCACCTTGTCACATCCAGCCAAAACTATCTCCGAAGCTCCTTTAGTATGTGCTCGTAATGATCCTCCAGGAACCTCCAGCACTACGCCCATTCTTTTCTTTGTAGAGTTGAATGGCTCAACCTTAACAGTTTTCGATGCTTGTCGTTCTGATTGGGGATCTCCCCCTAGAGCCAAGCCAAACTCTAACAAAGCAGTCTCTGTGGGAGTTCCCAATATCTCGCGTTTTCCGTCTTTGCCGGGAACGATTTCGCCCCCAGAGTTCAGGAAAATCGATTGCAGCAGAAGTTTTAAAAAAGATTCAGGGATATCATAGCAGAAAGAAGCTTTATCGAGGTTACTTACTTCCTTGACATTCAAGCAAATGCATGATTTCACGACAGTCATGCGATTAGTCGTTAGTGTACCGGTTTTATCGCTACAAATACTCGTTGCTGACCCCATAGTCTCGCAAGCTGCAAGGTGCCGAACTAGTGCTTTATCATTCATCATCTTCTTCATGGCAAAAGCAAGGCTCAGAGTCACCGCCAAGGGTAGACCCTCTGGAACTGCAACAACAACAATTGTGACTGCAACAGCAAAGTACTCTAGCAGTTTCAGTAACTCATCGCCGGCCCAACTCAAGATAGTCCCTTCTTGCACTTTACTCACTACTAGTCCTTGCACCATCACAGAAAAAGTCACTACAGAAAAAAACAGGCCTACCTTCCCGATAATTGTCGCGACTCCGTTCAATTTCACCTGCAGTGGGGTCTCATCATCTCCACCTTCACTTAGTGTTGCCATTAGTTTACCCCATTGAGTCCTCATCCCAACAGTGGTAACCAGCATCTTGCACGACCCATCTTGAAGCTTAGTACCAGAAAGCATGAAAGGGTTTTTATCATTCACATATACTGGCTCACTCTCCCCTGTTAAACTCGATTCATCGATTAGCACTGAAAATCCCGAGACGAAAAGGCCATCAGCAGGGACTTGGTCACCAAGATTAAGGTGTACAATATCACCGGGAAGCAAATCATATATAGACATTTTCTGCCTACAATTATTTCTTGTCACCTGAATAGTGATCTTCTTTTTCTCTTTGTCCAAATCCTTGAACTGCAAAGATTGTCGATAATCGCTCGTCGCCGTGACGAACACAACTAATAAGATACTCGCAACGATCCCAAGTCCATCATGAGCTCCGTCTGGCCAACCTTCCATCGCTATCCCAACGGCCAACGACACAATAGCGCAGGCCCCGAGGATCATAAGGGTCATATCCTGAAGTGCTTCCCAAACAAATACCCAGAATCCCTTAGCTTCGGCCTCTGCAAACTTATTGATTCCATAGATCTCTTGCCTTTTATTCAACAAACCAGTATCAGCAGTTAGTCCTTTGGCGGTTGATGTGGAGATCT